CTTCTGGAGGTGCGTTCACAGCGTAGGTCAAGGCAACAAGCTTTGTGTCCGCTTCCTCGTGGTCGCTAGCTAAGTATTCGGCAACTGATACTTCATCACTTGTTATCTTCGTACACTTGAATTTGTTGGAAAAGAATACGGTTTTTCCTGATAGTAGATCACCACGCATTTCTTCAATTGCTTTCTGAATAAGATTGGAAAGCATTTCTTTGTTTTCCCCATTACGAAGAAAACCAGCGAAATCGTAAGGCACCTTCATGTCAGGACTGGTTAGGACATACCGCTCGCTTGAACCTCTTGCTTGGCGTTCTCCACCTTTGATGCTATTGTCCTTGTATGTGTCACAAACTATGTAGATAGTCGTGTACTGAGAAGGAACAGTGGCTATTATTTGAGATGTCATTTCTCTAATCGTAGATCCAGTGAAGATCAGACTACGTATCGCAGCGGCGAGATCTAACAAGTATGTTCTCATTGTCGAAGCGGGTGGTAGTGAGTCGTGGCTTACAACAGTCAGCTCGCTCATGGAGGCGTGGTACAATTTGCTTTTGACGGTTTTTCGTATCGCGCCATCTGGTGTGCATAGCGGGATCGAAACGGGTGCAAGAGGAAAGCAGAGTACTTTCTCAAGATCAATACCTGACTCGTGCTTGTTAGAATACGCAACTAACATCCCCAAGATATCTCTCTGATATGTGAGTTCCTTGATCCTTCCCTTGTTCTTTATCTTGGTCTTTACTGCCAAATTCTTGAAGGTCTCGAGCTACTCTCTCTTGATTGGGCTAAAGAAATCTGCTCCAGGTGATTCTGCTGACTCTGTGGTAATTCTGTCCTGAAATTCGTCCATTAGCTCCTTTCCCCTTGATTCAAGTGCAAGTAGACATTCACACACGTTCTCTGGAGCTGGATACCCGGAAACCAAATTGAACAACTTATCTTTATCAAGGTCAGCATGGAAGGGATTGATGAATTGTGTCTTCAATACCACCATGATTCCTTCCACCATCTTATTCGACTTCAGAATTTCACTGCTTCGCAGACATTTTCGTGGATTTGACATTGTAGTGCACACTCCGGATAGCTCCAGTAACGATTCAACAAACTTGGTTTGGTATGGCCTGTTCATGACCCACTTTGTTACAGTACTTTCCTTTGCAGCAAATTGCGTGATTCCCCCTAAAAAGACGGAGAATGGTAATAAATATCAAGTATAAATGTACGACGGTTGCCACCTGTAAGGAAATATTGTTTCAGGAGATGCATGGCTGAAATATTTAAGATTATTACTTTTTGAATTCATGAGTATGAAGTATGTACCTGCAGTCTTTGCATTTCTCATGTAGCTTTGTTCGCCTGCCATGTCGATTGACTGTCCTATGCCAAGTTGATTTCTCCGCACCGACAAACCAAGATCTTCGATCTCCTGTCTTGCTCCTGGATGAGTGCTGTCAATACATTCTAAACCACTTACATAATATGTGCCATAGCGAGCATAATGAACCCGATTGGTAGCAAAGCACAAAGGCAAAGATTCTTTCCAAATGAGCATTCTCAGGTCATAATCATTCGTATTGACGGAAAAGTGCAATTTCTGCTGACGATCAACAAGCTCCATATACTTTGCCCAAAACTGCGGTGTTTTACCGAATTCTCCATTCAAACATTTGGTTTTCTGTATTTGACATTGATCAACATATTCTTTAACAGTGTCATCGTTAAGAATGTTGGTTAAACTCGTTGCTTGCGCGAGGTTACTTTGTGCGCACTCCTCGACTTTTTTTGGCATGGTCGGTAGATATTGTTCTACAAAAAGTCTTTCTAATGCTTCAGAAAAAGCCTCGTGAACAAGCCAACATCGATTGTAGTGCTTTCCACTCATCACTCCCGTAATACTTCCAGAGCTACACAGACCAGCTTGAAATAACACATCTTCGAATCCACTGCTCTCCACGAAACGTCCAATAACTGCAAAAAAGGTCATCATTGCATGAAAATCTCCCAGATGGATTATTATGTCGGACCACGCAGCTGGATTGTTCCAAACCACATGAAAGGCCTTGATTGCAGCTCCCGCATCGAGGGTGATGTGAGTGTAGGACATGTTGGATAGCTTCGCCAGCTGCCTAGATTGATGGAACATTTCTATGATGGTGGAGTATTCGGTTATTGGAGAAGAAATAGGAGGCAGGTATGTCATCAGTGTTGCCTTGCTATGAGCCTGCTGAAAACGACGTACGATCCAACCTACGAACCGGGGGTTTGTCTGATTAGCCGAGTTCATATATCGCACTGATTTCCATATCTGCAACAGTTTCGAACAATACATTTGTGCACTAGTAGGAGCTGGTCTGCTCTGTATTTTAGCAAGCGATGGTGGTTCTGCTTTTGGGTTGACTGCCACTCGCTTATCAACCGTCTCTTTGGGGAGTTGGATCGATCGTCGCTTTGACCTGGGAATGCTTATATCGTCTTGTCTCATCACAGCTGCGTCAGAGTGTTCTTGAAACGCTATTCCTGGTGTATTATGGATAGAACCAGCGCCTGACGCAGTTTCAACATTGCGATCAAAGTTATCCCACCAGAATATAAGTACCTTCTCAGTACCTTCTAAGTACCTTCTAAGTACCTTCTAAGTACCTTCTCAGTGCGACTCGAACCCAGTCCCCATGTGAAAAGAGTAAAAAGTCAACGCTCTGCCGAAAGCCGTGGGTTTTCCTCCGGGTACTCCGGTTTCCTCCCACAGGGAAAGTTGACAGGGTGGGTTAGGTAAAAAGGGCCCACAGTAATTGGCATATGCTGTTGTGGTGACCCTGCCCTAGTTGGCAAAGCTAAATAAATTTAAATTAAATATCGTTGATACCTTAAGGGGAAAATGCTACAACTTAATTTTGTTGATTATTTCTAAGCAAAAATTACCTTACTGAGACTTTCTTATTGTGAATTTAGTAAAAAATTTCAATTCCAATCTAAATTGATCGTATACAAATGTTGTGATGAAATACAAATAGACTATGGTATAAAAATGTAAACAATTTACGGCGAAGTTCGTAACTCACTTACATAGTTCTAAAGCTTAGCGCGCGTCATCATCGTTGTCTGCTTTTTTTTTTCACTGTCAAATTGCGAGTTTAGTTTCAATAATCGTAAACTGATATACTCACTTTGGAACCAATTGCTGCTGGTTGAAGAGGTAAGTTCAGACCCATGGATTGAAAGTGCTCTACCAGCTCAGCCTGAGCAGTCTCGATTTCGTTGATTGCGTCGTATGTAATACAATGTCCTAATCTTGCCAGTATAGTTATCGGTAGTTTTTGACCAGTCATACTATGAAGGCCATAGACCTAGTGATGCGTGTTTTGGCGTAAGGAATTTCCCCTTTGAAACAGCGTGAATGACATCTTGACAAAACGAGTCAGTCAGTCGATCTACTCTTTCGGCAGTGACGTGATGACTTCCTTTAAAAGACAAAAGTTCCTTGAAAAACAATTGCAGAAGCTCTGGGTATTGTCTCTCTCTTGAAACCAAACTTTCAACTGTCGGTGGCCATGGAAGTGGGTCAGCCTCTTCTAAAAAACTTAAGACAGACTCTTGCAGAAACGATGCTGCCCTTTTTAAGGCGGATTGTTGAATACGTGTAGAACTTCCCGAAATCATCTGATTGTGCAAACATTCTTTACTTATCAGCACTTGCGAAATATGATATTCTGCTTGAAGAAAAACTATTTGATCGCCAAATGACTTCGTAAGGCGTTCCTTCAGCTTGTGTCTGCTTTGCCTTGTTCCAATATTACCACAATATCTTGTCATTAGTGTTTCCATTGACAAACATTGCTGACAGCCTATAATATCACTGTCTACCAAAGAAAGTACTGCGTTGTAGTCCCCTGATTGTTTGTCATCATTTCCACCTTCGGTTGATTCAGCTGTTTTCCTGACGACTCTAGTATAGTCAAGATAGCATTTTTCGTGTTTTTGAAATTCTTTTGCTTTCAAATCAGTTTCGGTGACGGCTGTCATCATTTCTAAATCATTGTGAGCAATTGCAGCTTCTTTTAGTGTTCTTTCTGCAGTATTGGTGACAATCCTAGATAGTGACTGGCGTACACTTTTAACCCTTAACTCCTTCTTCTTACAAATCATACATATATTCGGGAACAGTCCTCTAGAGCCAGTAGCTTCATCACTTTGTCTTTGTGATGTTTTTCTTGTTGATTTTTGAAGCTTGCTATTGGAACCTTGACAGCCGTCTTGGCTTGTTTTCCGTTTCAATAACGTTTTGGCATATACAAACTTTTGAAAACATTTTCGATGGTAGAAGTACTCAATTTCTCCCAAATTCTCTGGAATTTTATTGCATTGATCAATGTGATGATTTTCACCGCCCAGACTCTCTCGTATTTTCTTACACTCGAGCAAAGTTTCAAATGTATTTGCACTTGGTCGAATCTGTTTATCACTAGATGTGTCCAGTGAGTCATAGTGAACAACACAATCGGCCATTTCTTCCTACATCGTCTCTAAAACCTATTCAAACGACTCTTGATTGCTAATTCGATGAACTGTGAAACAATAACACTTCGAATTCTGTTATGTTTTTAATGTTGTTTACAGCGTGAAATCGACAACTTCCGCCAATAATTATTTTGTTCAGTAATAATTATTTTGCTCAGACCAAGCATTTTCGCGCGGATATTTACGTTTACCGATCGTTAAAAACCTTATAGCACTTAAGATCTAGAAAAATAGATAAATTGTCCGCATCGAAATGCTTTTTTATTCGAACTAATCAATTAAAACAGAGAAATCGCGAATTTGGGATATTTTGCAACATTGCAAGAGATCGACGAGAACGTACTAATTTTAAAATTAAATATGCCCAAACGTCAGCTCGGTACGGGGCTAAAAAATTTCATGTTTGTACACAAAATGGCCTGTTTTACGCATTAAAGTATGACACATTGCCTTGTACTGGTAACATGCGTGCATAAAGTGTAATTTAAATATATTAGTAACTAAAATCGGAAAACATGGTTTCAAAGCGTAAAAACGCGCCTATAAATCTCGGAAACGAGGCAGATGGCCCAGTTTATCGTCCGAATGCAATTAATTTTCGAATTCTGCACCTAAAAATACCTAAAAGTGAGTATATTAAACAAATTATTCATTGTTTTCGCTTCAATCGAGCGGATAACGTTTTCGCATTAAAACGAGGCTTTAAACGCGAAAACGAGGCTGAAGGCCACGTCCACGGCCTGTATACCAACGATTTTCGAATTCAGCACCCCAAAATTGACCAAGTTCACTTGGTTTCATAAATTTCCCCGTCGGGGGACTATTCCCCCCTTCTCCGCCTGGTCTATACAGTCCACACCGCGCAAGCTGAAAAACAGCTCGAATCCCACCCCGGTGTTTCAGCTTGCCCTGTGTGAACTGCACTCAGAGTAGCAGGGGAAAAATAGATAAAGAAATGTGTACACACTTTTTACAATTTCGGTTTCACCTATAAGAGTTATTGAACAAGGCAAGCAAAGGGAAAGCCATACATTTGATTCACGCAAATATTTCATTGCTTGTCTAAAAAAAAAGATTTTTGGCAAAATTGAAGACTAATTCATCATGTAACTTTTTAGCTTATATGCATGCTAAGTACATGGGAACATGCAACTAAAGTGTATCAAAACAAGAAGTGTAAATACAAATCCCGTTCATGCGTAGAAGGGACAGTAATTTAGCTTAAGTATACATTGTATTTCTTTATTATTAAAGGGATATGGCAATATAAAATTAGATTTTCGCATTTGAAAGAACTTTCAAAATTATATGTTAAACTCTTTTACCGTTTTTTTTTATATCTTGCTTAGTTCTTGAAATATTTTGACTTAAAGCAATGAGATGTCGTCATCTTGGATTTTTGCAGATATTGCTTGAAAACCACTGAACCTTATGAGTTGAAAATTATTCTCTGGATACTCTTTCAAATAACAAAATATCTGCAAACATTTTAAACGTTAATCAACTGGGTTTTTTTGCCACCAAGGAGTCCTTTTATATGGCTAACCCTACTTGTGGCGTCACCTAAAACCAGCATTAATGAGATAAAAAATAATCCAAGATGTTGGACATTCCATTGTTTTCAGTCATTGTATGTAAAAATATTTCCAGAACTATGCAAGATATTAAAAATCGGTAAAAAAATTTAACATATAATTTTAAAAGTTCTTACAAATGGGACAATAAACTTTTATATTGCCATATCCCTTTAAACTTTATTCCGTAATTTAAGGGACTGTATCTTGCATGGCTATTATTCTTACTGGCGAACTTTTATAACTTATTGATAGAAAGATTTAATGTGATAGAAAGATTTATTTGCATTAAATTGTTACCAGTGAAGTGCATCCTTTTCAGTTTTCATGTTTTTATATCTTGTGCATTTTGGCACTTTCAAAGGTGTGTTATATAGCACATTCAAAGGTGTGTTAAACTGGCACGTCTTTTAAGGTGTGTTGTAGTAGCACACCTTGTAAGGTGTGTTGTGTTAGCACATCTTTCAAGGGTGTTGTATTAGCACACCTTGTAAGGTGTGTTGTATTAGCACACCTTGTAAGGTGTGTTGTATTAGCACATCTTTCAATGGTGTTGTATTAGCACACCTTGTAAGGTGTGTTATATTAACACACCTTAAGTTATGCTAACCAACACACCTTGAGGTGTGCTACTATAACACACCATTGAGCAACAATAACACACCTTTGCGTGCTGCCTAACACACCTTTCTTAGTAACACACCTAAAGGTGTGTTGTTTTGGCGACAAGCCGCTAGCACACCTTTTGTTGTGTTACTGTAGCACACCTTGGTGTGTTACCGTAGCACACCTTAAGGTGTGCTGTTTTGGCGACAGAAAAGGTGTGTTACTATAGCACACCTATTTTTAAGAGTGCACACGCATTTTTGATTTGAAGCTTTCAAAATATATAGTTATAAACCTTTAAAGTGCCTATGAAATGAATTTTTTTATTTCAGTATTTCGTACTTTTGGCAACGGAGATTTCGAATTTGAAATCGAATTTTTTTATTTCAGTATTTGGTACTTTTGGCAACGGAGATTTCGAATTTGTTGCTATTTCGGACTCAAGCGATTCAAGTGAGTATGTTTTTGGCGCTCATTATATGCCGTGTGAAGGTGAACCATTAATAACTCTTCAGGGAGACGACATAATGGACGATACTGTATATAAAATGTGGCAAGTGCTCGGATCGAAACTTGGTTGATGCACTTGAATACCGATGTTGCCTTGAAATTGTTGAAGCGCTTTAGCGCTTGGGAAACTAACATTCGACGGGAGCATCGCGGGTAAAAATTTCATGTTTGACATTGCATGAAGACTACAAGGCCATGACGAACGAGGCTGTGCTGGCTCAAGTCGGCCCTTTATTGAGAGACCGAAAGGGCAAAGCTATAATTATAAATGACGTTCAGGAACTCCTTACAAAAGAGTATTTGTGGATCATTTCATGCTGTCAAAGTTATAGAATTACTGCAATTTTTACGTTTTATATTTCAACAAAAAACATTTTCCAAATGTGGATAGTTTTTAATAGTTTAATAATACAGTAATAGGGCCATGTTTATTTATATCGAACAACTATAGTCTATAATGATACGTTTCCGATATGCCTTCAAAACATATACAAAGGCCAGCCAGAAGGGTGGATTATAACATCAGGGCCGCCCAGAGGGGGGGGGGGGGCAAAGGGGGCAAATTGCCCCGGGCCCCGAGTTGCTGGGGCCCCTGAAAAATTTTTGTAGGGCCCCAGCCTTTTTTGTGTGTTAAATATTTCCGCGCAAAGGACAAGATATCTGTTTTCTTGGGCTAAGTACCGAATTTTGGCATAAAAAAATTAGATGAAGTCCCTGGAAAGCAATTGCAACGTACTCGTCCGGCCAAATTTTGTACTCCGGAAAAATTTTTTTACCCCTAAAATGGTACACTGACCGAAATTTTTTTGGCAACGGGGAGGGGAGGTTGTTATCCGGAAAAATTTTTTTCCGGTAACTGATTTTTTTAGATAGGGGCCCCTAAACAAAATTTGCCCCGGGCCCCCGCCAACCTCTGGGCGGCCCTGTATAACATCTTAAAGTTACTGCATTGCTCTACTCAAACACAATAATGATGTCAAAGTATTATAATAGGCTAATACAGTAATAAAACTCAAACTGTGTTTTATACACTGAGATTTATATGGTGAAGTTAATTAAACGGTTTGGCTGGTCTTGCATTTTGGTACATTACATGGTCTGCTATTTCCCCTTTTAATACTAACTTTTAACCCTGTGAATAATTTTAAATATTAAATAATTTTAAATATTTCTACGTTCTGTAAACTGACTGGTCAAGGATTTCGGTTGCAAAGACTGATATTGCTTGCCAATCTCTTCCAACGTTGTGCTATCAACATGCAGTAAACATAATTTCTCCTATGCAGTTGACATACTCTACATGAAACATAGACAATTTGTTAACCATATTGTACCAAAAAACCCATTGCCCATCTCCCTCTAATACCAATCCCCCCACCAACCTTTAAAACAAAGAACACCTGCATATGATATCAATGAAATATTGGTTGTGCAGAAAGATAAAATAATATACCCCAGTCACCTAGTGGAGTATGTAAAAACTATGCCCTTTCAGTTGACCTTATGAGCATGCCTACGTACTTTCCCATAAGGTCTTTTATGCAAATGCAAAATATTATTTACCTATTTACCATAAGTTGGCCGTCTCTTTACTTCACGTACAATCGCTATGGCAATGACATCTAATTCTATGTTTCAACAACGTCAATCGTTGGAACTGAGCCTCGAGTCAAGAAGCGCTGTGCTGCTATCGAAACCTTGTAAATTGCTCTAGAGCTCTTGTCAAAATAGCTCTCGTCAAAATGTGCCGAGTACAACCATATTCTTGAAGAAGACGTTTCAGGGTCGAAGTCAGATCGATGTCTTCGAACAAAACGAACCCATTGCCTTCGTACAGACAGAAATCTTTCGGAAAACAACGCATGCTAATTCTGGTGTGTCGCCACTATTTGTGCATGGCTTCTTATTTGGCCCTCCAGGAACACAAAACACTTTTAGAATTTTTTCCCCCTCATTTCACATGAATGAGACGTTTCCTCCATATTTGCGTGGCTAATATTCATAATATGTAAATGAAAATCCTTGCTTGGATTATTCAGCGTCGGCTGCGGCGTGGATGCGTAGTATATTATTGATTATTGATGTTTATTAAAACTCTCTTGCAGTTATACAACTGAATTAACGAGCTTACTAGTAAAATTTACATAATATTTCTAGGTAATGTTCATATTAAGATGTTCAAATTTAGACTATTATTATTTATTCCTAATATTTACAGCATATTTCTAATTATTCAATTAAACAGTATTAATGGGAAAATTTAAGGCCCTGTTTACACTATACCGGATTCGCTGGTCACGACATCTTCTTTTGCCGTTACGGAGCAATGGTTATTAGCAAATGCTTATTAGTTTGACAGAATTGGCATGTTTATTTGGGTCTCTGAGATTAAAAATCTTCACAGCCTTTCGATACCTACAAAATTTGACCCACTCCGATAGCAATCCGGTATAGTGTAAACGGGGCCTAAAAGTAAAAAAGGATTGTGCTCTGTTCGTTTTACAGACCGTATTATTTTTAAATAGGTAAAATTGTTCTGATGTCCTTCTCAGATTACGCTGATTCTCAGAGACGACCGGTTTTGGAAGTAGATTATGTAGGGGATGGTCTTTAGATTTCATTTTGTCCATATATTTCTCACACAATAGATCTCTTCTGCTCTTGAGTGTAGGAATGTCGGCTAGATTTAGTGCGTCTGTGTACGAATCACAGTCAGGATAGATAATTTTAAGTGATCTCTTTTGCACGACTTCGATTGCCTCAGACAAATAGTCCGGGATGGCTTGCCATACCGGTACGGCGTATTCCAGCACTGGTCGTACTGTAGTTAAATAAACTTTTAAGATATTATCATTTTCGACTCCAGCTCTACGCAGTACCCTTAGCGAATATAGTTTCTTACTGGCTTTCTTGATAATGTGGTCGACATGACAGTTCCACTTTAGATCACTACTCATGATCACACCTAGGATCTTATAAGTCTTCACTTGTTCTATAACGTAGTTACCTATTTGTATAGGTTTAATCAGAAAGTTTGGATTGCGTAGGAAGTTAATAAGCATTTCTTTGCATTTGGTAGGATTTAATTTAGCTTCATATTATGCTCTATGGCAAAATTATGTATGTCAGCAGCAGCATTGTTTAGGACGCTAATGGAATTTCTTGGAATAATCTCCAGTACGGATGTGTCATCGACAAATTTAGTCCGAAGATTCCATTCCCAGAACAATTTGTTTGTCATGACAATAAAGAGAATTACGCCTAGTTTAGTTCCTTGAGGAACCCCACCCTTCACTGATTTCCAGTCTGATAGAACTCCATCAATTTTAACAGCCTGCATACGGTTGGTTAGAAAGGCTGCGATCCAATTCAAAAGTGCAGGATGAACTTGTAGGTTCTCTAGTTCGTGTAGAAGGATGGTATGATCAATAAGGTCGAACCCTTTAGAAAAATCAGCAAAGAATAAGCGTGCTCCGGCCTCACCAGTATCCACTGCTTCGTAGATTGCTTGCAATGTATATAGTAGAGCATCTGTTGTTGAATGATTTTTACGAGCATATTGGCGCGGATCCAGCTTATCTTCTAACTGAGGTAGGAGTCTTGTGCATGTAAAACCTTCCATGACCTTTGCTATGGTACATGTCAACGAGATAGGTCGGAGGTCATTTTCTATGGTTCTAGGGGGGTTGATCTTCGGTACTGGAATAACAATTGATGATTTGAGGAGTTCAGGAATATATCCCTCTTTCATTGATTGGTTATAAATATCTTTGATGATAGGTGCCAACTCATGCGCGAATTCCTTCACGACTCTATTCGGGATGTAATCAGGACCGACTGATTTATTTACTTGGAGCAATGATAATGCACTGTAGACCTCGTTTTCAGTTACAAAGAAATCCTGTGGAACTTCATGGGATACAATGCGTGGGGTTAAGGGCTCAAAATTATCAGTAAGGCCAGTAAAGAAGTTGTTAATCCTATTAGCTAGTAACTTAGTGTCAGAGCTATTTTCGAGAAACTGATGGTGCCATTCCAGTTTTGAACTTTGCCCAGAGAGTTTCTTAATTTCTCTCCACCATTTTGTGGAATTAACTCTTTGTACATCAGTAACTTTAACGCTATAATATTGGTATTTTGCTGCACGAATGGAACGTTGGACTTTGTTTCTCCAATATCGGTATGCTGTTGACATTTTCCCTTGTTGGATAAAAGCTGATTGGCGTTTTTGAATCCCCTTTTTTATCTTAGTAGTGATCCATGGTCGATCTGTTGGGTGCTTTTTAACCTCTTTTTGTGGAAGGAATCTATCAATAGCCTGGTTAAGATCTGAGTTAAAAAGATCAAATTTATCTTTACACATATTAGCTTCGAGGACAGAGGACCAATCATTTTGAGTAATCCATCGACCTAGCGCACACCACGCACTATCCCTCATATCGCGTATTTTAGATTTACTTATTAGTTTAGTTTCACCTCCAAGTATAGGCTTTGCCAGAATTGAATAATGGTCAGATGATGCAATCTTAGGTAGCTGGGTTAAAGAGAACAGTTTAGGTCTGTTCGTAAACAGCCAGTCTAAAATACCAGAATCTCTAACAGAAGGTAACCAACTGTTTAAGGCTATTCACTTGGGTTATATATTTTTGATTAAAACCAGTCGATTTTGGATTAAAATCGCCTGTTAGAATAATTAATGCATTTGGCTGTTTAAGTAACGCAGCATCAAGATTTTTTTGAACATGATCACGTAAAATAATGTTCTCAGGTTTCCCATTGCTCGTCGAATGTTAGACCACGCCTACTACGATTGATGTAACTTCTCTTGGTAAACTATGTGGTCTCATTGATATCCATATTGATTTGAGCTCCGTTTGATCACTGAATTCCAAAAGTTTGCATGGTATATTTTGGTCTACGTACACACACACACACCACCACCAGACGTTTCAATTCGGTCCCTGCGGAATAAATTATAACCAGGAATAGAAATGGATGAGTCAGGAATTTCTGGCGATAACCAAGTTTCGGTTATACAAATAGCACCAACAGAATACAGCAGAGCTATTTGTTCAATCTCATCTACTTTCTTTGGCAGCGACCTCACATTCGCAGATAGAATGGTAGGAATATCATACCTTTTGGGGATTTTTATCTTTTTCAAATTTTTCAGAGCATGATAGTTGACTGCTCTACCTGGATTCTGATACGGGCGTCTCTTACGTCTAGTAATTCTTGTGGAGATTTCATGTGTGGGATTTTCTATTACATGGGGCTCTGATTGATAAACTGAACTACGTGTTATTGTGAGACAGTTATTCGACGTACCAGATCTAGATGTTCGATCCAATCTGGGTCCTTTCTTTGTATATGATACCGGAACCATGGGACTTTGATGTTTTGGCCTGTTTTGGTAGAGGTTTGGTAATAGTAATTCTCTCGTTCTTGGGATAGTCGGGTACGAGAACGTTTTCGGGGGCGCTTTCGAAAATAATTGCTTCGTATTTATAAAATAATTGCTTCGTATTTTATAATCTCTATCTTGTATTAGCGATCATGCAGGCCTATAAATTATAACAGTTAAACGAAATCTCTTCTCGACGTTTCGAGCGAAGGCCCTTCCTTCGTCACGTAGAGTTAGTAGGGTAAGGGAGAGCTCGAAACGTCGAGATTTCGTTTATCTTTTATAGGCTTGCGTGATCATTTATATACAAGACAGAGCTTATGTTATTGAGCGTGCCCTGCTCTTTACGTCACAGGAAGTAATTTGACGCCTTTTGGCCGCGCACAAACAGAACCACTTTTTGAAGCCAAAATCGGCATGTTTAACCATCGATAACTTTTGTTTAATTGATTTTTAGAGCTTGCGTTTTTAAAATCGTCTTTTGTACATCAAACACTGTAGGAATATCGAATAAAAATTTCATTTCATAGGCACTTTAAAGACACAGTTGGAACAAAAACTTATTAAAATTGAAACGGCCTAGTTTGGAACTAATGATTTTCTTGAAAATCCGCCATTGTCCATTGATTTGCGTCCTCGTTTCACCGACATCGTATATCAAAATCGAGCTTCAAATCAACAGTAATCATGCAGTATTGATAAATAGTATTCACTATAAAAACTAACCTTCACTGTGTTTCCTCCAGAATATTTAAAAAAATAGAATATCAGCCTCGGCAGCCTTGCACAAAATCCGATTTCTTGAGGTTGTTTATTAACAACTTAAACATTTGTAGTATCTACCTAATTTTTCTTGAAAGTAACTATTTAGAGCCTGGATGTACGTCTAGCAGTATTAAACACTAAACGTCTTAAACATTTATAGAAATTTCTTTAAAGTCACTATATATTTGCTTTGTGCTCGCTAATTTGACTATTCAGCATGATTCATACCTGGAGCAATTATTTACTGCAAAGCAAAGCCTCCTCCGCCAATACATAATTACGTATATTTTAATATTGATTATTACATTCGTAATACCTGTTGTAATACCCTGTTGTAATTACCTTGTTGTTATATATTTTTGCGTTGGGATTTCCGTAAAATATATCGCGGGTAAGGCATCAGCACTAGCTCTGTGCATTTCGTATATTATGTTGCATTCATGCTGTTTTCATCCAGAAATAGCACTAGCTCTGTGCATTATTATTATTATTATTATTATAAATTTCCAAACTAGCAGTAACAACTGAATTACTTTGGAATTACAGGGTATAAGAACATAGGTATTCAATCTATTCTATATTTACAGGTAAAAATAGGTAAGTTAGATAAAAATAACGATAATAATCTAAAGTTTACGTATTATTATAAGCACGAGACGCAGCAGGAATGAAACTGTTCGAAAAACGTTCAGTTCTACACCTAGGTACTAATAAGTTGGGATAAGACCTCAGATTATAAGTTTGAAGACTTTTAGGCGGTACTAAGGCATTCAGTTTATGAGTGGGTTCCAACATCTTCGAAAAAAGTCGCTTGCAAAGAACAGTTCTACGTACGTAAAGAGTCATCAAGTTAGCTTTAAGCAAACATTCAGCATAGATAGTTCCAGGGAAAATAATTTTTAATGCCCTTTTTTGTATTTTTTCAACTTGATCACTCAGGTAATGAGGAAGGCCATAATGCCACACCTGACAAGCATATTCGACAATTGGTCGAATATGTGTACAATAGGTTGAGATCGGAATATGAGAAGGTAAAGCATTTCTTTTAAGAAGGCGCAGACCGTACAAACTATTGGGCGTTGTCCTTTCGGACGACCTCAAATGTAGTCAATATGGCAGTTCCATTTGAGGTCGTCCGAAAGGACAACGCCCAATAGTTTGGCCTCGGAAACGACGTCGACCTCTTGACCGCGAATGGTAATAGGGGCAAACGATGGAGTAAGCTTAGAAAAGCAGACACGCAATTCTTTGGTCTTTGATACGTTTAACTTCATATTATTGTCTGATGACAAATTAAAATGCATTTCGTATATTATGTTGCATTCATGCAGTTTTCATCCAGAAATCAACACCACCGTTAATGGTATTTTACTACGGGGAGAAAAAACCCAGCACAATTCTCTATGACCTTGCATATACTAACTAAAATGAAATTACAATGCATTTTCGGCAAGCGGCTGAAACTCTAGCTGGAATTTACCATGTACTAAGTCTATGAATTGTGTCTCCGAAATAACGAATTATGTTAGGGCAATGAAACAGTCCGCATTTTATCCTTTTTGTCCGCATTCGCATTTTAACCC